CAATGCTGATAAGGGGGCCGACAGCCTCTCCTCCTCAGTCTGTTCCATATTCCTCCTCTAGATCCCCCTTTCCGTCGACTGCGGTTCCTCTTCTCACCATGAATCAATTCCAAAGGTATTTTGAAAGAAGAGGGGATCAATGTTTGACATCAGGAAGGCAGTTCAGCTCCAGCAGGTGTTGGTGTGAATAGGCAAGTTTACCATGTAGACAACAACGGTGGGTGTGTAAAAAGTCCTTTTACCTGGAAGTGGTTGATGATCAACAGTCAAAAACAGGCCAGGTACAACATTGTAACATACCATTTTTTCAATCCTGCCAGGAATTCAACAACAATAAAACAATCTACCACAAAGTATTAAAGATATACAAATAAATCAGACACACAGGAGCCAGGTCAGGAGTTGCTCTGGCAGAGTAGTGCCTCCTGTAGTTGTTGTAAAATGTTATACTGATGTTTATAGGTTAAACCAGAGATTCTTAACCCATGGTTCTTAACCCGAGGTCAAAAAGGTTAAGAACCCCTGGAAACCATAGGTGTCAAATTTTGGTCCCTGAGGGCTGCTACCCAGCTTGGTTTCTTAATTCCTTGCCCAAACAAACCTGGTTTTCATGAATGGATTATTAACAGGCTTTCATAGAACTTGAAGAGGTAATTGAATCAGGTGTGTTGGAGCAGAGAAACAAGGAAAACACGCAGGACAGTGACTCTCAAGGACCGGAGTTTGACACCATGGATTAAAAATGTTATCACATTTTGTATAATATACAGTAACAATGCCCAGAGTGCCAACTGAGGACACAAGAGACCAGGAGACAGCAAAAGGTAAGTGTTTATTTACAACGGTAAGTTGGAGTCCAGGGGAAAATCTGCAGAGGAGGAGCAGGTGAGCTGTCCCTGTTCCTTTGGAAGATGTTTGGGATTTAACTTTGACCTTGTTTACTCCTGACTTTAATCACAGACTAAATTGTTGGACCACACAGATCCTTTCTGTTGATGGATAAAATTACAACACAGCCAACTCAGAGGGCACCGTGCTACATGACGAGAGGACTTTCTTCTCCCCTCACAGGTTCTCTAACAGCTCTAAGCCTGTTAAAGGCTCCTTCAGTCAGAACCAAATGATTTCATACTTGTTATTGTTATGGGCGAGGCGTGCACTACATTTATCTGTTTTACCTGCTTCTTCCTTTCAGGAACACTGGTGCCCATATCCAGCAGTGACTGTGCGAGGGGCGGGGTGCAGCTGGACAGGTTGCAGGTCCCATGAGATCATGGCTAATAAATATAATCTCAAATTTATATCATTCAATTTAAATGTTTTTTTTTCAACCCCAATAAAGAGAAAAAAATACTATCTAAAATGAGAAAGGAGAGTCTACAAATTGCTATGTTGCAAGAAACACATAAAAAAACTAAAGATAAGGAAGAGACTTTGTCCTAAAGAGGCCCCTCCCCTTTCAGGGAGATTGCTCAATCACCAGGCCTCCGTCATACGGGTCTGAACTTCCTCTTTCCTCCTGAGTCTTACACAGTGTGAGAGAAGTCTGTTCAGACTGGTACAGAGGACATACGTCAGCCTCTTAACAGCCTTTAATCCAAGGGTCCCACCCTGTTTCATCTGTTAAGTTAGCCAGGCCTTGTAGCCCAGAGGCCAGCCAGGACCCACCGGTCACACCTCGTTATGGCACCTCTCCTTCCTTATGATGAAGTGCACTTGGAACACGGGCTGAATTTATTTAACAACCTGGAATAGGCTAAACGACCTGAACTTCTTTCCCTACTCACATTAACACCAAGATTATCATATTTTAACTCAGAGTAACATTAAGCAATGTACTGTTACACAAAACAAAACGTGAAACAGATTCCCTTCATGTCTCCAAATAATTTTCTCACTACTTCGTCATCAATGATTATAACGATATAAAAATAAAAGCAAATCATTCTCCTATAATTAACTTTTTTCTAATTGTTTACAACCATTGATCAGAAGAATCATATTCTTTAACATGAGCAGAAAAGCTTTTTTCTTTTCTATTTTCCCCCCTAAATCTTCAGTTTACTGTCATCATGGGACACAGTGAATTTCAAGACAGATCAAGGACATATATTAATCTCATGTTATTTTCACAGGAGATATTCACAGATAACAGGTAGAACAGGTGAGTCCACATAACACTGTTTAATCAACACTTTTTGGTCTATCTGTGGAGGGGATTGTAATCTTCAAAACAAAATCTCCAAACATCTTTACAGAAAAGAATCAAGGCTGTACACTTCATAAATACCTCCATAGGATTTACTAGATAAAATCATTATAACAATTTGCACTAGCACTTTTCAAGTAAATTTTACTGCTATAATATCAGGTATGACTTACTTGTTAGTATTAAGTAAAATACATCTACCACCACAGTTAACAGTCGTGAATTTACTGAATAATTGTTTCATTAATTTTGAATTGTAAGTAGCATTTATTTAAAAAGTAAGTAAATAAAATACTGTCATACAGTATATGACAATATTTTTATTTACTTAATTTTAATTATTGTGCCTCTGTGGTGAAAATTATTTCTCTATATTTTTCCCATTGCACATGTGGGGAGCAATGGGCTGCCATTTGAGGCTCTAGGGCAGGGCTATTCAACTAAACTGCTCCGGGGGCCACAGTTAATGCAGACCAACAGCTCAGGGGCCGAAAATCCAGCAATTAAAGTTGTTATGTAAATAAACTAAGTATTACAAAGATCTGTTACCTTTGAAATAGTTTATTTTTTTGCCGTGTTTAATCATGAAAACATACAGAACCCTATTTAATAAATGTAGTGATGATAAAACAAACAAAAAAAGAAACTTATTATGCCTCTTATTTACCACAAAATATTGTGACACCTCTGACTTGCCATATTTTTAAACCAATTTTATTTTCACTTTCATGGTTTTATCTTCAACTGCTTGTAGTTTTAACTGTCTTTGATGGTCATAGAAATGGTTTTTACCAGCTTGCAGCCAAGATTCTGATGTTTCTGTAGACACCAAACATGTCTAGGTTTAGCTAAAATAACAGAGTAATTAAAGTAGAAAACTGGGGGTTTGGGCTTAAGAGATGAATGAACCAACTGGCAGGCCAAACTTTGGTCACTCGTGGGCCGGATGTGTCCCGCGGGCCGCCAGTTGAATAGCCCTGCTCTAGGAGGAGCTGGGGACTCATTGCGGGGCAGATGTTGGTCTAGAGATTGAACTGGTGACTGGGAAGCTCACCTTATCTAGCCTCTGTTCCACTACTTCCCATATGCACAACTGAAAGTACATAAAAATGACTGTTAGTGTGGTCAGGACTGTACAGTATTATAGCCATTTAGAGGGATTTACACCCAGCAAACTTATTTTACCCATTTTCCCATGAGCATACAGTATACTTTAGAATTGATTTTTTTTTACTTTTAAAAGAAATTGTCATATAACTGTGAAATTGGCAACACTGACTTGTCTGACCATGCCCACCTACTATTAAACAGAAATAAACAATGACCCCCAAAAGAACACAGTAGAAACTGAATGCGAATGTACTGAAGGACTCAGATTTGGAGGATCAGCACCTCCAAATCTGAGTCCATGGTCCTCAGTTGAAAAAAGATGGATTGCTCTCTCCAGGTTGGGGGTGAAGTTCTGCATCAAGTGGAGGAGTTCAAGTATCTTGGGGTCTTGTTCACGAGTGAGGGAAGAATGGAGCGTGAGATTGATAGACGGGTCGGTGGAGCTTCCACAGTTTTGCAGACTCTGTACCTGTCTGTCGTGGTGAACAGGGAGCTGAGCTGTAAGACAAAGCTCTTGGTTTACCGATCAGTCTACGTTCCTACCCTCACATATGGTCACAAACTTTGGGTAGTGACCAGAAGAATGAGATCGCAAAGGTCAAAAAGAGTTTTCTCCGCAGGGTAGCTGGGTTCTTCCTTAGAGGCAGAGTAAGAAGTTCAGTTATCCAGGAGAGACTCAGAGTAGAGCCGATGCTGCTCCACATCGAGTCAGTTGAGGTGGTTCATCTGTTAAGAATGCCTCCTGCACGGCTCTCTAGGGAGGTGCTTCAGGTAGGAGACCCCAGAGGAAGACCCAGGACACACTGGAGAGACTATGTCTCTCAGCTGGCCTGGGAACACCTTGGAGTCCTCCCAGAAGAACTGGAAGAGGTGGCTGAGGAAAAAGAGGTCTGGGCTTCCCTGCTCCAGCTACTACCCCCATGACCTGACTTTAGATAAAGAGGAAGATAATGGATGAATGGATGGATGGATGTACCGAAGGACTAACAATTTACCAAAAATGATTCAATCTGATATAAAAACATTCTTAATAAAACCTTAATAGTGAGTTTAGCCCAGAAATACCCTAAGACACACTAAAAGCAGTCATGAGGGGTAAATTATATAATTTTGCGTCCAGAAAAAGAGATCAAATCAACGTAGATTGTCAGAGTTGAACAAGGAATTAAAAGAGCTAAATGAGAGAGAACTACAACCAGAGCTTCATATGCAGTTGAAAATATTGAAGAATACTTTCTGCACAATGTATTCTCTGCCATTTTATTGTTCTCTTGTTTTTCTGTGTGGTTTTGTTATTTGAAATGTTTCATTATAACTCAGAGAGCTCTGCACCATCCCAATGATTCTGGACTGCTGGTTTGTGCTCAAATAGCAAATAAAATTCTTTGTTTCTTGTATCTTCTACAAAGCACTGACTCATGGGGGCAAGTACAAATGCAAATCACTCATTTTAGATTTTTATTTGTAAATATAAATAAATAAATATATAAATCAATCAATCACAAGTCAGTTTCCTTCTACTTCACAATTATGGCCTTCTTTGTGTTGGTCAATCACGTAAGATTTCAGTGAAATGTTTAGAATAATGTGGCTGTAATGTCACAAAATGTGGAAAATAATTTTCAAAGCACAGTAAAAGAGCATCTTATGAGTGTTTTTTGAGGTGTTGTGTTAAGTTTACCTGTTCTCTGAGTCTGTCGGTTTCTTCCTGGTACGCAGTCAGCTGTTTCTTCCATTGCTCCACATTAGCATTAGCCTCATTCAAAGCTGCCACCAGCTTTGTGTTACTGTCCTGCAGAGCGAAGAACTCAACTTCCAGGTTCATCTCACAAATAGATCTAAACAAACACAGAGACAGACACAGATTATGTAATAAGTCACAATGGTTTAAAGGGTAAACATGAACATTTGGCATTTCATGATAACTGAATGAGTATTTCACTGCTGGTGAAAATCACATTGCTAACCCAGAATAAATGTTACCATAGTTATTAAACTAGAAATCAAGCCTTGGTTGCAGTGGCATGCACAGACATTTTGCAACCTTGTACTGTGCACAAAATCACTGTTCTAGTTATAGATTTCTAGTGTTATGTTAGAGTGGGGTTAAGGTTAGGGTTACATTACTGGCACATCTTTTACATCATGTATATTTATCTAAACTTAACACAAAAAGTAAAGAAAACTTGTGTTTGATAGATTAGTTTCTGTCTTGGCAATAAATCATATACCGTTGGAAAGCCTGTTGATTTCTCTTTTAAAGTAGACATATCAAGATTTTAAATCCTTCCTTTTCAAATTTAAATCATTCAGTTGGGGTCTTTATAAAGTGGAACTACAATGCTTTGGTCTGAATTCCTTCTTATTCTAACTTCACCAGCTCCTATTTCACCATTTTTCTTTTTGTCTCAGAGCAGCTGTTTTGTTACTGTTCCTTTAAGGCTCTTCAAGCCCCGCCCCCCTCCTGCTTCCAGACCGGTTCACTTCAGTTTGAGGGAGGAGGTTACGCTTTGCTTCAATGTTTATGCACTTAATAAATCTCATTTTACCATTTATAAAACCTTGTCCTATTAAGTTGCAGCAATGCTAATTCAAAGTTAAATTTAGACAAAATATGTTAAAAGTATTTATTTTAGGTAAAACCATTGTTGCTCATTCAAACTACTACTGTTGATGGAATGTGTTTTTTTTTTCTCCTGAAATTTAAATTCAAAGATTAAAACCATTTTTATGTAGCAGTTTCAGATTTGTTGATGTGCTTTGTGCGTTTGGCTGAAGTTACCCTTCTGAAAGCATCTTCTTCATCCTCTCCTTCTCAGCAGAAAGGGTGACGTCTGCACTCTGGCTGCGGAACAGCTTGTCCTCTGGTCCATTCACACACATTACTGGTGGAGACTGGAGGTCATCCGAGAGATCCTGAGAAACAGCTCAGTAAATGTACTTTGCACACATATAAAAATATAACAACAACAACAACAACAACAACAACAACAACAACAACAACAATAATAATAATAATAATAATAATAGTAATAATAATAATAACAATAAACACTTTTCAAACTAAAGGCTATTTAACAAGAATAAAACTGACTTTACATTTTAAAAGTAAAAACACTTCTCATAGAGTTTAAAGGTATTATCTCACTAGGCTACATTGTTGGAGGTTAGTTGGTGACACAAAAATGTACAAAAAAAAGCAAATTTTCCTTTGTAGTCTTTCTGAATTCTTGGTGTTTGTGATCAAGCACTGAGTGAAGTGTAAAGCTGCATTTTGTGCAGTCAATTTTTAAAATCTGTTAGCTTGCAAAACTGTGTTGTAGGCCGGGGGTTCTTAACCTTTTCAACATTGGAGCCCAGCTTGTTGAATCTAAATAGATGTCAACAATGTACTGATAAAAAAAATGATAATTTAATTTTAATTTTAAATAGAATAGAATAGAATAGCCTTTATTGTCCCACTGAGGGGAAATTCAGGTGTCACAGCAGCATCAGTACAGAGGTTCACACACTAGTTTACAAACTATAGACAATGCACAAAAAACAAGATTACCACTAACTAGCAATGATACGACTACTACCAATGAAAATATAATATAAAGGATTGTGCAAGAAATAAAAAAAGATATGTTTTGTTTTAGAGACTGTTGCTTATCAGAATTTGACATTAGGAATTAGAATTTGCCTATTTTCAGTGCAAAACAATCTCAACAGACTAATGACTGTAAAGTATCACAGTGCAGACAATAAACACAGATGTGCAATTACAGAAGAATTATTTTAAAGGTTAAATGGGTAATGACAGAGCAAGTGGTTGCTCAGATCAGTAATAATATAAATGAGTAGTAGTGCAAATGATTGTTCAGATGAGTAATGACAGTACAATAACAGTACAAATGATTGTGCCGGCAGCAGCAAAAATCTTGGTTTAATTAGAAGTCCGAGCCCACGGAGCAGGGGAACACAGTTAAAAAAAAACAGCAGCGTTTCCATGCATTCAGTGGAGCATGGACCCAAATTTGTATTTGTTGTTTAATATTATTACTATTTTTTTCCCATCAGAAAAAAAAAAAACCATACTGCAGCCCAAACCGCAGGGACTTCAGAGAAGCTATTACCATGATAATACTCCATCTGAAGCCAAACACTTGACACACAGTCACATGGTTGTTTGACATTCACTTTTACACACACCATTCATAGTTCCTAAGAAATCCCTTCTGCTGTGGTATTTGTCACTGCATTGAGTTTCTTCCCACTAGAGTCTACATACTGTATATATAT